GTGAAAGGTATGAATTCGACACCACTTTCTCAAATAGCAAATTAGAGTGGTCTGTTGATTGAGTATGCACCCATTGAACGCCAATTAGCTGATATCCTTACGAAACCACTTGACATGAATGGGTTTACGAGTTTACATGTTTTTTATAAAAAAAAATTGGATTAGGAGAAATCTGATTTTATCTCTAATGGTGTCTATTTAAAAGTGATTTGGTTCAATGATTGTGAAGGAGAGTCAGTGATACTTGACAGGTATGCCAAGTACACTTCGAAAAAAAAATGACATGGGCATCCTTTGATACTCCTCTGTTGGCTTAGTACTCTTGAATGATAATAAAAAAAAGGAAAAGAAGGAATAGAAAAAAAAAGGAGGGATAAAAAAAAGGGAGAAAAAAAAGAAAAAGGAATAAAAAGAAAAAGAAGAAAAGTTAATATGAGTAGATTGGAAAATTGAATCACTCGGGCCTAAGTTGAACCGCATGCAGTCTATACGATGGTCTAAGGGCAGATGATATCCATGCATCATACTCTGCTGTAATTTACAGTATTACAAGAGTATATCTCGGTGAGATAGTCTGGACTTAAATGGTGAAACTTGCATGCTCGGTTTCAACGTCCTAGAAGTTCAGGGGGAGAAAAGTCAGTGAAGTGTAGTTTGGTGAACTGTGAGGTATTTTTGACTTAACTAATCAAGCATTACGTTCTAATGATCTGATGAATGATGTTATTAGATTTAAAATTTGAAAGATCCTATTAATCTCGCATGTGTTTTCATTTGATTTTCAAAAATTAAACCTAATTTGAGTTGAGTGGTGAAGTAATGACTCGGTTATGACAAGAGGTGCGAAAATCCTAGATCCAAGAGGAAGATTCAAAATTTTGCAAGTCAGGTAAGTGTCATAATTCTCTTATCACTCAAGATTTTGGATTATTTCATACATGCACACAGGGAAAGAATGTGGAGATGATGATTCAGAAGTTGAAGAAAATATGGAGATGAGAACGTACAGGAAGAAAAGAAAAGACAAAGTCAAAGTGATCAGAGTTACTTCAAATTCAGAGACAAACTCGGTTAAGTAAAGTTGTGAAACTTATTTCGGAATCAACATCAAATATGTCTGAATCCTTATGCGAATCCTGATGCGACTGATGCGAAATTGTGTTGAATTGATAACTTTTTTATGTGTGTGTGCATGATCTGAAATAACCAAAAAGGGGGAGATTGTTAGTGCAATTATTTGCACATGTGTTTTTTGGTTGTTAAGTGGTTATTGCAGGTTCAACAAACTTGAGAGATTTCAGGAGAAGAATCCGGCGAGATAAAGCTCACGCAAATCTGAGGTACAACTAACGAGTTTCAGATAAAGTCAAAGACTAAGAGATTGAGATGGACTCAATGTCAACCACTTGAAGAGATTTTAGAGAAAGCAATCTGAAGAGATAGAGCCACGAAATTTGGATTTGACTTGAAGAGATGAAGATAGAATCAAAGCTAAGAAGATTTAAGGAGATTTGAGATAGAGACAAGATCTTGAAGATAAAGTCAAAGACTTGAAGAGATAAAGATAAAGATGAGATCTTGGAGATAGAGATGAAATCGAAGATGATCAAAGAGAAGTCTATCAAATCAATTCGTGGAGATCTAAGGCGAATTGGAGGAGCCTATATAAAGGAGACACAAATTGCAGATCAGTTCTCACGGAGAGCAAAACATATTTTACTAAAAGAGAGTCTTTTTGTTGGTGAGTGATAACTCACTTTTAAGTGAGTATGTGTCTGAGGAAGATACCGATGGGGCAAATCTCTTTCCTCTGGTGAGTGTTTGGGCGTGGATCTGAGGGGGAGACCTAATGGAAAAATCTCCGTTCCTTTGGTGAGCGTTTGTGTTTGGTAATATTTTTTGATCGGTAGAATTCATTGTGAGAGTGAGTTGAAACTCAGGGGGAGTTTCATCTGGGGTTGAGTAGCTCTAACAAAAAGTGAGTTGTACTTGAATTTTTCTCAAGTGAATAGAACTGGTTAGTTTTTTCAGAATACAAACCTCGGTTTTGCTTTAATTTTGCAGATTTCAGGTTTCGGAGATGATTGGACTAAAACATGAGCACTTTTAGAGCTTTAGAGATGAAGTTCAGAAGAGACATGCATTACGAGCTCAATAACTTTCTCCACAAAAATCCAAATAATGCGTGGTTTATACAATTGGAATGAGCATTTAAATAGCTTCGCATCGACGTCAAAATCACTCAAATCCGACATCATAAGTACACATATATTTATATGTATATATGTGTATGACATATATATATATGTATATATATGTGTGTATGTATATGTATATGCGTAAATATATATATATATATATGTATATGTATATATATTAATGTTTAAGGGTATATGTACACCTTTTGGATGTTTCTTGTAGTGGTTGTAATTTTAAAAACATTTATTTTTTTAAAAAATAGTTTTTTCGGGTTTTTAAAATTCAGTTCGATTCTGTAAAATTCGGTTGAAATTTTTTTATCAATTCGATACAATTCATTCCAAGGAATCGAACCCAAATGCTTACCCTAACGCGTATAAATATATATTATGAATACATGTACATATATATCATATATATATATATATGTATTAGTATTTATAATGTGTATATTTATATGTGTACTTGTGTATGATATATATGTATGTCTATTTATGTCTATATATATGTATATGTGTAAATATATGTATTATATATTTTTAGTTTTAAACTTTTAATTTTTAATTTTTAATTTTTAATTTTTAATTTTTAATTTTTAATTTTTAATTTTTAATTTTTAATTTTTAATTTTTAATTTTTAATATTTAGTCACTCACCTTCAGCCTCGGCTCGCACCGCCGGAGCTCCACCGGCGAGATCGCCTCCGATCTCTTTCTCTCTCTCTCTTCTCTCTTCCTCTTTTCACCTCCTTGAGCCACGCGCTTCTTGCGTGTTGAAGAACAGAAACAATAGGGTTAAGATTAACCCTTATCGAAACGCCATGTTTCGGTCAAAACCGAAACCTCTTTCTCTAGGAGAAGGTTTTCTTTCTTCCACTAATGGGCCCAACACTCGAACCATTTATTATCAACGTATATCATTTCTTCGGATTCATTTTATTTGAGTATTTTTTTTCAGTGAAGGTGGGGCGGAGAAAGTAGAAAAAGCCACCTTTAAACGGCAATATAGCAAAAATATCATTACTTTGCTACAAAGACTTCATGGTATACTCTTCAAAACCCTAAAATTTTGGAAAAAAAATAAAAGGAACAAAAGACATAATTAACCCTCTCACAAAAGTAACGTGATTCTCCTCTCTTCATTTTGAATTCATCTCTCTCGTTTTCATTCTTTGACAACTCTTCATTTCTTTCTTAACTTTCTCTCTCCACTCTTATCTTTCTCTCAACTCTTCCATTTTCTCTCTTCTCATTTCATTTTTATACATAGAAAAACAAACGAAAAATGGTTATTTCGTTGAACATATCTTCACCGACGACCTCATATCTTTTTCTTGAGTCGGTCTTAGACAAAACAAATGACAAGAACTGAAGGTAAGTTCATTAATACAAGAGATTGGTTCGATGCATGAACTTTGTGTTTTGGATTTGAGTTTTATGATTGTTAGAGTGAATCGTGTAGTTTTTTTTTATGAAAATGAGATAGATGCATAGCAAATCTGTCGAAGAATATACAAGAGGCGCATATTTAATTTCAAATAAATGTTCGGAGCGATAATGGAACGGATTGACAACGAAAATAAAGGTACGTCATATTGGTTACACCGTTTAAAATTTAATTTTGGTCACACTGGTCACACTAGTCAACTTGGTCACACCGTTCAAAATTTAGTTTTGATCACACTGGTCACATTGGTCACACTAGTCACATTGGTCACACTGGTCACACTGGTCACACCATTCAAATTTTAGTTTTGGTCACACTAGTCATATTGGTCACACTGATCACACTAGTCACTTGGTCACATTAGTCACACTGGTCACACCGAAAATTTTTAAAATTCACGCGAAAATATTTATTTTTTTGTGATGGAGGGAGTTTTAAAATATTTAAATTTTTTCCTAGGAAATCGAAAACTGCTTTTCTCTCTCTCTTCTCATTAATGTTTCTGTCATTGGGACCCACGACAATGGGTATTTTGGGAATAACATAATTATAAAGGTATGTTTTGAAGTAGTTTTTTTATTTATTTTTGCAGGGGTATGCAGTGAAGTCTTTGTAGCATAATAGGGGTATTTTTGATAAAACCCCCTTTAAACAGTTTTAATTTAATAAAAAATCAATTTATTTTTTTGTTCTTACCATCATTCCCGAACATCGTTTGCATATCAAAAGAAATAAAAAACGAGTTTCTATTCATAATTAAAAACGACACTATAGTTTCCGAGCCACATTTCATCAAACTATATAACAGTAATAATAACATAAATTTATGTTTGAGGAAAGTCCCTAACCCACTAATTAATAACACCTTGCTTTTTTCTGTGTTACTGATCAGTTTCATATGATTTATCTGTTTTTACGTAGTTTATCGGTTATTACAGATGATTTATTTAGCCAACACGTCTTAAGGGTAAATTTCTACGATATAAAAAAACATAAATTTATGCTTTATGTGAAGCTTTAGAAGTTGACTTTTTTTTCTTCATGTCCGGTTCTTTTCACCAACTATACAACAAATACAATATAACATTACGGTTTTATATAACATGGAATCATCATTAAGTGAAACGCAGAGAATATTAATAACATGCCAACGGAACATTCTTATCCTCACATATTAAGAAATGCCTTGTCCATCATTTTCTGGAAACAAATTAATCAGTATATGTGTTTAATAATCCTAAAACTATTATATGATTAAGCTGAACTAATCAAATAATTGGCGGTGTGGGCGGCACCCAGTGGTTGCATGCCACGTAATCCGGGCCCCACCATCGGGTGCAATGTTTTCTTGCTATATATACACGGATTCAACATGGGTTCGAGCCACACACAGAAAACAGCAAAGAAAGAAAAAAAAAAGGATGGTGAAGATAGCGGTTGGGAGCTTGGGAGATTCCTTCAGTGGGGCGTCTCTGAAGAGTTACTTGGCAGAGTTCATAGCAACACTCGTGTTCGTGTTCGCCGGAGTTGGCTCTGCCATCGCCTATGGCAAGCTGACGTCAGATGCGGCGTTGGACCCGCCGGGGCTGGTGGCCGTGGCCGTCGCCCACGCCTTCGCTCTCTTCGTCGGAGTTTCCATCGCAGCCAACATCTCCGGCGGACACCTCAACCCCGCCGTCACTCTGGGTCTCGCCGTCGGCGGCAACATCACCATCATCACCGGTTTCTTCTACTGGGTCGCCCAGTGTCTCGGCTCCATCGTCGCCTGCCTCCTCCTCCAGTTCGTCACCAACGGCAAGGTAATTAACAATATATATAATAACAAAAAACGTATTTTATATTCTCTTTGTATGCATCGATCGAGTAACGGATAACCGGATTTGGTACAGAGCATACCGACCCACGGAGTGGCGGCCGGTTTGGGAGCGGTGGAGGGAATAGTGATGGAGATAGTGGTGACCTTCGCTCTGGTCTACACAGTCTACGCCACCGCTGCCGACCCAAAGAAGGGTTCTTTGGGAACCATCGCGCCCATCGCCATCGGTTTCATCGTCGGAGCCAACATCCTGGCCGCCGGACCTTTCAGCGGCGGCTCCATGAACCCAGCCAGGTCGTTCGGGCCGGCGGTCGTAGCCGGAGACTTATCCCAGATATGGATATACTGGGTGGGCCCACTCGTCGGCGGTGCTCTCGCCGGTCTCATATACGGCGACGTCTTCATCGGCTCATACACTGCCGCTCCCACCGCCGAGTCCTACCCTTGAAATCCATATCTCCCTTTGCTTTTTGTGGGGTTTCTGAATTGCCGCTGTTGGTGTGCGTTGCTTGAAGTTATTTTCCTACTCCCTGTTTCATCCATGGTGTTTGTTGTCCACAAAAAAATTGATTGTCTTTTGTTTGTAATAAAAAAAAAATTGTATATGATAAAAGTTCCTTGGTGGAGCGTTCGTTTTTTGGCCCGGCGGTCGTAGCCGGAGACTTATCCCAGATATGGATATACTGGGTGGGCCCACTCGTCGGCGGTGCTCTCGCCGGTCTCATATACGGCGACGTCTTCATCGGCTCATACACTGCCGCTCCCACCGCCGAGTCCTACCCTTGAAATCTATATCTCCCTTTGCTTTTTGTGGGGTTTCTGAATTGCCGCTGTTGGTGTGCGTTGCTTGAAGTTATTTTCCTACTCCCTGTTTCATCCATGGTGTTTGTTGTCCACAAAAAAATTGATTGTCTTTTGTTTGTAATAAAAAAAAAATTGTATATGATAAAAGTTCCTTGGTGGAGCGTTCGTTTTTTTTAAGATGGGAAACCCTTTCCTACAACCTTTCGGATCAAACACTGGACACCGCAACACCTCTCAGTCCATGGGCCGGACGAGAACGGTATCAGACAACATCGCGGACCTGAGAAAACTCACCGCCCGTGTGCAAACCGGCAAACTATGCAGAACAGGTAAACCAGTCTTGTAAAGCTGACCGATTCAAGGAAAGTTTCCCCCGAATTTTCGTTTTTTCTTTTGGTCGGTTCGTGATAGTTACCGGAATGTAACATCTACCTAGAGGGGCAAAAGAAATAGTTGTTTCATATGTTCAACAAAATTGAAGGGTTCAAATGCTAAAAAAAAAAAAAAGCAAACCTCATTTCTAATCGAAACTTTTCGATCTTTTGATAGATGTAGTTGAATACAATAACGGTTGAATTTTTAAATTATAAAAAAAAAATAAAAAAAAGTTCAGTAGACTATATAATACAATATATATTCCATTGGTTCTGGGGTATGGGCTGGGCTGGGTTGGGTTTATGAGTGACCTCTTAAATAATAAAATCTAAAAATGTAATAACCAAATTATAAAGTTGCGGCCCATAGGCTTGACCAAAATAATTAAACGAAGGCTCATACATACGATAAGTTAGGTCCACAAATAGCCCATCAAGATTGGCATGGTTTCTTGAGCCATAACGTGTCGAGTTTTTTTTTTTTTGATATATTGGAGAACTCCGTGACTAACTACCCTTACAAACGGAGACGAACTGACCACCACCCGCACCTAACAGTCTCCATGGACCTTAGTCCGCCGGACTTGGTCACCAGACGCACCTAACGCTCGAGCCGTAGTTGGGTTTAGGCGCATGCGGGTCAAACCCCAAACCCACGCGCACGAGCCTGCAACACACACGTAGGAGGTAAATCAACCCATTATGATAGGCTGACAGACGAGCAGATCAGAGGAAGGGAGATGACAGGATTCGAACCCCCACCTCAAGGAGTTGTCCCCTGCTCCCAACCAACTGACCTGGCCCCGAAGGGCAACGTGTCGAGTTTTTGTTTGTCCATTCGGTCCAAACACATATACTGAATGAAAATTTCCAGACTTGAAGCGTCGTAACGAGAATATGTTTTTGCACATGAAATTCCATATAAAGTTATGTCGGAAGAATCACTTCGAATGTCGCAAGTACAAATTTTTTTTGGTAAACTTGAGAGTTTCGGAATCGGATGGGATAGACGTTTTGCGCTCTTATTTCATTGATTTGAGTTATCCAAATTGGATTCGCGGGTAAAAAGTTAACATGACAAAGTTAACATGACAAACGTGGAGTATAAAATTGGACGACATCGAAGCTCGTGGAGTATCTCTTTTATGGAGGAACGAAAGAAGCAAATATGATCTGAAAGGAGTAAGGAGGGGGGAATGGGTGGAAAAGATAAACAAACCTCAAAATGAGAAAAAAAAATAGACAGAGACAGCGATTTCTGGTAAAACCGAAGTATTTGTCGGGAAAGCACCATCCCCCTTAGCTCCGTTTATTCTCCATAATTTGATTACTTAAACGACTCTCTAATGTCTGATTGTGCCTCTCTCACGAAACCATTACCTGCAATTACGGGAATAGCTCCAAGCACCACCACCACCACCATCCCTATTATCTTTCTTTATTCTCTCTCTCTCTCTCTCTCTCTCTCTCTCTCTCTCTCTCTCTCTCTTCATGTATGAATATATATATATAGAGAGAGAGACACGGGGTATCATGCCATGCGAAAGAGTTCATTGACTGGCACAATCCAAGGTATATATACTTACTCGGTCTTATGCCATCTATTAATCGCAATAGTTAACCATTTTCCGTCTGATTTGGTCTCAGCCATTTCCCCATTAGAAAACACGGATTGCTGGTTATGCTCTTCCTGTCCTCCTTTCCAAACCTCCACCTGAGTCAACATCTACGTCACCCACCTTTTTCCTTCTCAAAAAGTTTTCTCCACCCATCGGAGATTATCTCGTCTTCCCTTTGTCTGTCTCTTTTCCTTCGTTTTTGACATCGAAGACGGCTGATTTCCTCACGTTTATCCGATCAAGGCATAAACTTTTCACTCTTTCTCCTTTTATCGTGGAAGGGAGGAACTCAATCGAAGAAAAAAACGATTTTTTCAAGAAGTTTTTTTTCCTCCCTACCCCTTTCGTTAGCCAATATCATCATCTTCATTTTCGGACGATCTCCTGTTCAATAGGAAGATTCATCATCTGGGTTCCGCAAATTGAGATTTATATATATATATAGAGAGAGAGGGAGGAAATGGAACCTGGGTTCTACTCGGAATGGAAGGACAGCTGTTCCTCGATGTACGGATCGGAGAATCTGGAGGAAGAGATTGAAGAGGGAGTTTGCAGAGGCGGCGAGCAGATATTCGGGTCGATCCCTCAGCCTCAGACACCCAAAGAGCCAATGGAGTTTCTGTCCAGATCATGGAGTCTATCTGCTTCCGAAATCTCCAAAGCTCTCGCTCACAAACATACACAACCTCAACATCAGTTTTCCCCTGTCCTTTTGTCCCCACCCGCCGACCCCCTCGTGGTATGGGACCCTTTTTCCAGTTTCAAATCCTGTACATCACCCAGTTTTTTTTTTAAAGGATTTCTCAGAATTGCAACTAGCAAATCAGATCAGATTTTACTCATTACGTCGTGCTCCTTATAGCATGAGATCGGTTCAGACACGAAACTCGGACACTGTATCATCTGACCGAAATTTTATTTCAGTCGTATGCCAATGGATTCAAAAGTCTGAAACTTTTGATGCCTTCTTCAGTTTCCAAATCTGTTGAATTCTTTAGATTCTATGTTTCGGTTTTCTGTGATCACCTTTGTCATAGAAGTTGTTGCAGCCATAGTTTTCTTCAGAAGTAGTTTTTTTTTTTTTGCACAGTGAACTGTTCTGCTATTCATTTTCAGAACTCTGAAATTCAATTGTTCTCAGGCAGGGAAAATCATGAACTCAGTCAGCAGGCGGAGAACAGGGCCATTGTCCAAGTGGTTCCAACACAAGGAACGCCCCCACCCAATCATCAGAAACACACTAAAGAAGAAAGACAAGGCGCGCGTTGAGAACGCCAGGGTCCACTCAGCCGTATCCATAGCAGCTCTGGCAGCTGGGTTAGCGTCTGTGACTGCCACTGAGAGCTGCAGCTCTAAGATGGCATCGGCATTGGCTTCAGCAACCAAGCTGTTGGCCTCACACTGTGTTGAGATGGCTGAGGTGGCCGGTGCTGATCACAACTCTGTGGCCTCTGCCGTTAGGTCTGCCGTGGATATCCACAGCCCCGGTGATCTCATGACTCTTACTGCTGCAGCTGCAACAGGTAAGGATCTCAAGCTTTTCTTTGTCTGTCAATGCCAGATAGAAAATTACTCTTGGGGGAACTGTAAATTGAATAGAGTGAGATGAGATCTGACCTGAATCTAAAATGATTCAGCACTGAGAGGAGAAGCGGCTCTGAAGGCGAGGATGCCAAAGGAGGCAAGGAAGAACACAGCTATCACACCGTGTGAGAGGAGTTTCTCCGAATCTCACTGGCCAATAAGTTTTCAATATAGATTGGAGGAACCAGGTCTTCCGCTCGAGGGAGAGCTTGTGCAATGCACTCGAAATGGTAATTCTCTTCACCAGACCTACAGTCACTTGGATTTACCATCTCATACAGTATAAGATGCAAGATATGAGAACTTCCACTCTAAGGCGCTAACTCTTCTTTCTTCTTGTTGAAACTTGCAGGAGGTCAGCGCACTAAGCGTGTGTCTCTGTACATCAACAAGAAGTCTCAGGTACTTGAAATGACCAGATCACTAACAGACATAACACAGTTTGGTTCAGACTGATGCTTTAAGCTTTACAGATATGTTATTCATCAGGTCATAATCAAACTCAAAAGCAAGCACGTCGGAGGGGCATTCTCCAAGAAGATCAAATGTAAGCATTTGTACATTGTTTTAAATAAAAGTAAATCAAAGTTAAATTACCTGGAAAAAGCAGAGTTCTCATCTTCTTGTTCCTGTTGGTTAGGCATTGTATACGGAGTGTGCGACGAGATATCTGGGTGGCCTTACAGGAAAGAGAGAGACAATTCAGAAGAAGTGTCCTTTGGTCTGAAAACGGGACAGGGTCTTCTGGAGTTCAAGTGCAAGAGCAAGTTCCACAAACAGAGATGGGTTGACGGCATTCAGTCTTTTCTCCACCGAGTGTCTTTCTTCGAGCCTCCAAAATGCTCTCTTGACTCTCTTAGCCTCAGTGATCGTGTGTGATGTTGTTGTTTCCTGTATATATCTATATATCTCCAGAATTTTGCTGTTGTAAGGTTTGAAATACAGCAATTGTTCAATCCCATGTACCGTAAACCGTAACCTTGGGGAGGCTTTTCGGAATAAAACACACAAGAGTTTTGCGCAGGAATTATCTCAATTGGTAAGAACAAACTGATCTAATAAAGCAAGAGATCTATGAGATAATCTCTGACTGGAAAGCTTAACCTTTTTATTTCTGATGATTAAATTTCTGGCTGCAACTTCGAAGCATTGTATACTGAGAACTATAGTATGAAGAATTGAAGTTCTTACAGGTAACTGGTATTGCATTCTTCCCATGAATGTTCAGGTAAATAATCAGATGACAGGCGTGTTGAAGCTTCTCAGCCACATGTGTATTCAGAATACAACCGTCTTGTTTGTGCCATAAGGTAATACTCGCAGTTCGCAGTATGATTTTATAGCTTTTGTGAGGCATTTTTTCTCAAGGTCCTCAGATTTCTGGACAAAGCTCCTTAGATTGTCTCTGTGAGAAACTCTCTCAACCTGAGAAAGACATTTGAGCAAGTCCATTCAGAAGCTGCTGAAGAACGTTGGCAAATCATGAGAAGAAATCTAATCATGAGAACAAATCTATTAACAGGCCGGAAAATAAATTACCATTTGTTCAATGATAGGCCCTGAATCAAGTTCCTCCGTGACAAAGTGACTTGTAGCACCGATTAGCTTCACACCTGCATCAAATGCCTGCCAATAGAATTTAGCACATTAAGAGTAGCAACAACATCAACATCGTCTTAATCCAAATTTATTTGAGGTCAGCCACATGAATTCTTCATTTCCACTCATTTCAATCAAAACGTGAAAAAACCTGTCTTGCAGGATTTCCACCCTTGAATGATGGCAAGAGGCCATGGTGGATGTTGATGACTTCCTTCCCGTAGCTTTTCAAAAAATTTCCGGACAGTACCTGGGGAAAAACCCACGTGATCATTGATATCAATAACTGATATAAGGGTTAACTCTATCAATGATTTTGTGTTGAAACTTTTGTCAGTAAGAAACCGATGTGCAAAAAACAGTACACAGAGGTAGAGCTATTTTGGTTCATTTTGGGATTTAACGTGAGAGATACAAGTTTTATGGGTCACATTCATATTGAAATAACAGTTCAGAAACAATTCTAAGCTCACCATCGCATCAAAGAGAGCAAAAGAGATAATGAATAGACTTTAAAAATCTGATTTACCTGCATGTACCGGGCGAGAACAAGGAAATCAGTATCCTTCACCAATTCCAAAATCTCCTCTTCTCTTTTATTCTCTTTGGTTGTTGGAAAATAATGATACGAGATACCATGCCTTTCCAGAAACCGCATGACATGGGTGTTTGGAGCTCTTTCATGATTACTGTCACACAATATTTCAGCAATATATGGATTGAGTCAATATACACACACATATACAGATATGCCTTCAGTAAAATAATGAAAAGGATCTCCACTTCACCTTATCACGCAAGTTATATCAACAGGGACTTTTCCATCCTGCCAATTATGCAACATCTCAACCAGACAGTGATCCTGCAGCCAGAATCACTTAGCCTCAGAAGGTAGAACAAGCGTACACAAAATAGGAGGAAGTCTTTGAAATATGATACCTGTTTCGAAACAAGAAGAGCTATCTTATACTTGGGGTCTATAGAGGGCACACGTACAACTGAGCTCACAGCACAGAATTTTTTGGCGATCTTTTGAAAATCCTCATCCATTTGCCCCCTCGGCCATTTTACAGGATCAAATATAAACTCACTGTGCAAGAAACCACAATTCATTACAACGAAACCCAAACGTCACAACCTTTCAGACGGGTCAATCTGTAATCCTGAAAAGTCCAAACTTCGGATTTTGATTGATAGCTGTACGCACAGACGATTGTTGAACGTAGCAACGGAAATATACCTCCTAGAGTAGAAGATATTCTTGTTTTCGGGTACAAAAACATCGTAACCGAGAATGTTTCCGCCGTTTGCTGCAATACAATCTGATAATTTCGCCACAATTCCAACCGAATCCTAAATTCAAAAGGGGGAAAAAAGGATTCATTTCTACTCAGTGAAGTCTGCCTCAATCTGATTAATACCCCCCACTGACTTGGTATGCTAAGGAAAAAACCAAAAAGATCCACGAAACATCAAACAAGCAATCCAACGGCTACATCGGAACATCAGCGGAGCTCCATTAGTCAATCTCAAAGGTTTTGCAGCAGTCTCTACAGGCTCCTGTTATTACCGGAAAGCAAAAGGAGAGATTGAGGAACACATACGCACCGGGCAATGGAAGACGTGGATTCCGGGGATGAGAATGGGGGAGAGAGAGGAATCGAGGGACTCCCCGTGAAATCCAGAGGATTTGAAAGAGCGATTCTTCAACAGTTCAAAAGCTCTCGCGGAGAAGACGGAGGCGAACGACGCTC